AGTATAAAATCCTAAGATAAAATTTCTAAAACTGATATCTCTTTAAAAAGGTTAAATTTTTTTTTTCTGTAATTAAGTCTATTAAAAATTGAAATAAGTGAATTGCAATGGAAAAACCTGCATAAACAAATAAATTCTAGTAAAGCAAATAAATTCGTGATATCAATCAAAAATCGTCAAATAAATTCGTGAAAAAAAGCGCTTTCGACAAAATACTGAAATAGAGATCTATCGACAAAGACTACTCACTTCCGCCTAGCTTGTGCTCTCTCTGGTTATTTCAGTTTCCGTTTTTAAAAGCGCTATATGTTGAGCCATCTCAGCTAGATTTGGCATGTGACATTTTTAGCTGCAATCATTGGTCGATTTTCTAGGGTTGCCATTCGGGGAGTTATAATGAGGCTTTTTTTTTGTCGCAGTGTAAGAGAAATATATATACAGATACCCGATTTAACTCGGATAAGCGGTTAAGCTGCAAACTTTCCTGCCGCAAAAAACTCAGTTTTTCCAGTGTTATTTACATGTGCCGCTATTGGCGACTATAGCTTCCTTCATAGTGTTTACGGTCAAACAAATTCTCTTTTAAAGGATCTGTTAATTACCACTTCTTTATAAAAACTAATTCTCTCTCCCATTGGAAAATTTGTATCTAAAAAATTGAAAAGCTCAAAAATGTTTAAAAAAACCCATCGAATTTGAAATAGATGATACGAAATATTCCTTTATATCTATACCTATCAGTGGACACCATGGTTCCACATCCTTCAGTTAATAAAGAAACGAACATTATAATTACGGAGTGTACTTCAGTTTGTCTACAATAAGAACACCTCCAGACATTCGTCTGGACCTGCGACGGTGACTATGGTAGCGAGGTATGACTATTTCAAGTAGGGGTGCAGGGTCCCTGTTTTGGAGTGGTTTCGGGTCGGGTCGGCGACAGAAAGGGAATCTCTTCTGTTTATTGTGAGTTGCTACCCTCCTTAAAATGAGCCATTCTTGTTTCCATAGCACCAGACGGCCTCAGACTTTGTGGCGGAAGGAGTTCTTAGCTTAGACAGACTATATACTCTATTGCAAGTTAAGAAAAGTCCATGTAAGATTTAAGTAATCATCCGTAAATTCCATAATTACGCTTTCAGAACAATATAAAAGCTTTTAAAAGTTGAAGTCGTTTGACAGGAAATTTAATTCGTGCTATTTTTTAAAAGCAAGCAAAAAGAACGCCATACTACCTCGTTTTAAGAATTGGCGATGGTGATATTCGTTCGCGCTTGGAGCGTGCACTTAGATGCAAACAGGCTATCTCAATTGGTATAATGGATTTTTCTTAAACTTGCAACAGAATATGATTTTTTTCCGTCACCTATTCTTCAGTAATACATCGAAAAAAAGATGTAACTTTCCAGATAACATAAATGTTTTTTTTTCTTCGGGGGGGGGGGGGGNNGGGGGGGGGGGGGAGAAAAAAATTGCTGTGGTGAATTTCAAGGAAAACGTGTGATTAATTTATGCTTTGAAGAAAGTGGAGAAGCTAGCATCACTGTCTTTGTGATGTCCTTCTTTAATTCACTGGGCTGTAAGTTTACATATATCATGACTTAAAAGAGAAAAGAGCAGAACAAAAAAATTCTTGCATTATAGCTTATTTTCAGAAAGAAAAAAATAAATATGGCTATCAAAATTTTTTTACAGGTATAATATGATTATAGTCGTGCTTTTGTAATCGTATGTAAAATTAGTAAATAGTTTATAATTAAGAATAGTAAGAGCTTATTTTATTTCGTAAGAAAAATCGATAAAAATGAAATATTTTGCTACCAGTTTTTTCCCCCTTTTCCATCCTACTTTCTGTACTACCAACTCGTGCTATCAGATGCCAACTGCTCCGGGCGCGTCATAATAATTTAAAAAACGGTTAACAACTACAAGCTAAAATTTGCAATTATTTGACTAATTTTGCTTACTTTTTTAAATGGTGTAGCATGATTCTTTATTTTCTTTATTTAAATCAAGCTGGGTGCCTGGGCCGCGCAGCGGCCCCTAACCCATTCATCATGAAATAATTTACATTGTTTGAAAATATTTTATATTATGCAACATTGTGGTGGCAAGATTAAAAAGACAGGAAATAAGAAAAAAGAAAATATAAAAAGAACAGAAATTACAGGCATTATTTGTAGATTACATATTTGTCAGTTCTATTGGAATATGTGATTTAATAATTTTTACAGTAGGTTTCTAGATTTTAATAATAATGGATTTTTTTAAAGTTCTGTTAAATGTTCAGAGTTTGTGTTTTTGATTTTTATTTTCAGCTGCTCAGAATAGACTGCAAGATGACACATGATGTTGATGTAGCTCCGGATGCATTGGAAAGTTGATGATTTTTACTGCAATCGATGATGCTGTGCACTATGTTGTTTCTAATGATTTGACGATATGCTGAAAGGATGGATGATTCTGATGATATTTAGAAAAAGTGATATCAGTAGGGGTCGAACCTGGGATCTTTGTGGTTGTATGCGGGTGCTTTATCCATTCGGCTATGACTGTTTACTTCTATTTCTATTGATGATGAAATGAGGTATCAGATGTATAGAAGGCTGCAATAGGTCGGAGATGGCAATCTTTTTTATAGTTTTCATAGGATAGGATCTGGTTGAAAATAGGCCGGATCATACTGGTATAGAGGAGTTTTCGTAGATTCAAGGATATGTTTGGATTTTGTATAAGTGGTTGAATAATATTTGCTGCTACCCTATTGGAAAAAATTCCCAGTACAAAAAATTTTATACCGGCTTATGAAACACCGGTTCCGGTATGATACTGGATCCAGTATAATACCAGTCCCAGTACCATACCGGAACCGGTGTTTCATAAACCGGTATCAAATTGATCCCAGTATGATACTGGAACCAGTATCATACCGGAACCGGTGTTTCATAAGCTGGTATAAAATTTATTCCAGTATGATATCGAACCCAGTATCACTAGTGTACTACACCCAGTAAACTGGGATGGTGTAACAATTTATTTTTAACACAAGTATAGTGAGGTACTACAGTTTAATACAGGAAGGTTAGTGAACTGCTCTGAATGGGAAAATAAAACATTGATACGAGTAAATAAATAAAGTCACCTGGTTTATACAGGGAACTAAAACACTTTGTCAAAAGCTATAGTTTGCATTATGTTTATAAAAATCAAATAAACTTTTTTTTTTAAACTTCTTCACAGTTAATGTAATTTTTTTAATAATTAATATATTAGAAATAATTGTCAATAATATTTGAATCTAAAATACTACACAAAAAATGTTTTGCAGCAACATAAGAAAAGTGTAAATGCATTCTTCAGATTTTATGAAAATTGATTGGGGATTAGAAATATTATGTAATGAATAGCCAAAAACTGACTAAAATAAGTCAAAATCTTATTTTTTAATTTTCATATCTTTTGAAATGACAAAATAAATTTTGTTAAATAAGCCTCGGAAATGTTTGACAAATGCAAATTCATATGCACAATAAGGAGACCGTGTGAAGTGTATATATCTATAAATATAAACAATCTAATTATAAAATCATGATTTCATATAAATCAATTAACTTCGGTTTATATTTGTAATTGATAAATAAAATTAAATGCAAATAACACATATAGCATATAATGTTCGAAATGCCGCCAAAAATATTTGAAATGAATCTAATTTGACACTGTTCATTTACTTTGAAATCAGGCATTGTAAAATATAATTATATAGTTATGTTACATTTTGATCAATGTACTTGCTTGCTACTATAGATTTAAATACAAACCAATTTAATTTTAGATATATTTGAAATTTAAATTATAGTCAACTTTAATCATTCAAACATAATAGTGGTTAGAGTAGTAATTATAGCTACAAATGAAAGCTTAAATGACACAAGTTATTAACTAATGTAAATAAAAAATTTGAATTATTTTACTCTGTCATTCTTCGATTGACATTTTTCTTAAGATTCCTTGATTTAAAGCACAATTTGATACAGTCATTTTCTATTTGAAGTATTTAATTTTTATGATAATTTACTTAACGCATAATATCTGAAAATTAAATTAGGAAAAAAAAGTTATCGCCTACAAAAATTTAATCTCAAGAGCGAATTATTTATATAACGACACATGTTCATAAATAATAAAATAAGCCCTAAATTTTAGAAAGCTTTTCTTATCTCACAATTGTTGTGCACTCAACAAGTAATAATTAATATATATACTGAATAAAAACACACAACACAATATTAAAAATTTTAAACATTGGATATGACATAATTTAAACTCTGTCTTCAATAAGATATAAGAATTACACAATTACTAAATTGATATAAAAACAATCAACTCTCATTACTAAATTGATATAAAATTACTAAATTGATATTAAAACAATGATCTCAAGAGCGAATTATTTATATAACGACACATGTTCATAAATAATAAAATAAGCCCTAAATTTTAGAAAGCTTTTCTTATCTCACAATTGTTGTGCACTCAACAAGTAATAATTAATATATATACTGAATAAAAACACACAACACAATATTAAAAATTTTAAACATTGGATATGACATAATTTAAACTCTGTCTTCAATAAGATATAAGAATTACACAATTACTAAATTGATATAAAAACAATCAACTCTCATTACTAAATTGATATAAAATTACTAAATTGATATTAAAACAATGATCTCAAGAGCGAATTATTTATATAACGACACATGTTCATAAATAATAAAATAAGCAATAATAAAATAAGCCCTAAATTTTAGAAAGCTTTTCTTATCTCACAATTGTTGTGCACTCAACAAGTAATAATTAATATATATACTGAATAAAAACACACAACACAATATTAAAAATTTTAAACATTGGATATGACATAATTTAAACTCTGTCTTCAATAAGATATAAGAATTACGCAATTACTAAATTGATATAAAACATTACCACAATAGCCTAAAAAATGTTAATCTTTTTATAATCAAATGAAATGAATTGTAGTTTCAATAATGTGAAGTGGCTTAAAAGCTCAATTTTCATGTCTCTTTGATGTCTAGCTGGTGGTTTTCTGGATCCCTCAGACGTTTCTTTAATGTAATGAACTATCTTTCTAGCTTCATCAAATAAGAGCCAGCAACAATGTCTCCATTTAGAGTTCCTAATATAAACAAATTTTGAATAAACAGAAAGTGCAGACTAAACAGCAATTTCAAAAAATTTCATTTTTAATATTGTATGCTTTTTCTTTTAATATTATGCTTTACCCTTTTACACTAAATTTTAGATTACAGTGCTAATTTAATTAAGTTAATATTTCAGATTGCAGTGTTAATTCTATAAGACATTTTTGGCATTTGTATACTTTTTCCTAACTATTAAATTGACAGCAAGAATTATTAAACGAATACAAAGAGTAAAGAATTTTTACAAGCTTTAAACTTTTCTTACATCATGTTAATAAATAAATAGGCAACGAAAAATGCTAAAAATGTCAGTCAAAATTATATTAACTGAAAGCTTAATTGTGTTAAGTTTTTCATATGATTATGATAAATTTTACCATTACACAAATAGGATGCATATATTTTTCAGCTAATATAAACTGATTAAAATTAGAAAAGCATTATACTTTTTAAAAAAATAATAATAATAGTATTTATATTAATAGGGTACTGTACTACATTTACTCCAAATTTTAATTAACTTTTATGCTTTTTAAAAACTCAAAAACTAGCTGTTACAGGTGTAAATAACTTAGACAAAGATCCAGAATGCACAAAAAACAGATTTCATACAATTCAAATTATATGCGATTCTTACAAAAATTCAAATAAAATATGTGCGTATATAAATAATGTTACGAATATTCAGGAACTGTTCAATCATACATTTAAAAAAAAAATCTATTGTGTAGTGTAACACACACAACACATACAAGAAATTAGACTCAATATTTAACCTAATAATTAAGTTCTTGAAACATTATACCATACTTTTGTTCAAAATAAGTATAACATATATTGTAAACAAAATTAAGAAGTATTAATTTGCAAGATGAGAATTAATTTGATACTAAAAGGTTGCAGAAAATTTTAAAAAAATAAGTACTAAAATTTCGAACACTGTATGATGTTAATTTAAAGATTAGCTATTGAAACGCACAGACTGTAAATAAATAGAAGATTTTAAAAATTTTTTTTACATTATGAATAAACAATTATCCAAATTATATAGACAAATTTATACAGTAAAACAATTTTTCAGAATAATTATTAAGTATGAGAAATACAATTGCAAATACTTATTTTTCAACCACCTACTATACCAATCAATTACAAATATACTTAATTTATCAACTGTCCAATTTAAACGTAGATCAAATTATAAAATTCAAGATTTGAACTGCAAAATTTTCCGCACCCTAGTAAGAAAAAATAATGGTCTACCAAATTTTATTATTTTTGTGTAATTTGAAAGAGATTTATTTCAAATAAAGGGAAGTTAATGTCTAACATAGGTATCGCTCATACTACCCAATTTTGTTGACAACTCAAAAGAAATCACCAGCGCCCACATCACAGAAGCACATTACCAACCAACTTTTCATAGTGACTCTATGCAAAGATTAAAGTATGAATGATCTGAAGTAACTTTTTACCATTTTAATTTCATTATAATAGTTTTTAAACAGTTCAGCTCATAACTTCCTCTAAAGCTTAGCATTTAAATGTATTATTAAGACAAAGAACATTAACAGGTTTAAACAAACAAAACTTGAACGTATAGTTAAAAATGTAACTATTCAGTGGCTGAACTCAGAAATAAATTTGCATATACTTTTTACATTCATTAAAATTAAGGAAGCATTCAGTTCTATTTACAGTGGAGCATCGTTTATACGACGATCACTTATACGACGTTTACATTTATACGACGTTTTAGTGTGGTCCCAAATCATTCCTATTCATTTTAATGTAAAAATACATCGTTTATACGACGAACAGAATCGGTTATAACGTCGATTTTTAGATTTTGTTCACGTTTATTTAATTTTTTATTTTTTCTCGTGTATTTTAAAAAAGGGCGGAATTTGCCAACATGAATGATACAGAAAAGGGGCCAACAAGAATACTTGGATGACGACCGTAATTTTTGCTAGATGACTGAAAAAACAAGACAATGTTATGAAGAGGCAAAAACGAAAAATTTTGCTATTCATCGACCAATGTCCAGCTCACCCATCGATACTAATAATTTTGGGAAATGTAAAAGCTCTCTTTTTTCCTGCAAATTGCACAAGTGCGCTTCAGCCATTAGATTTGGCCGTGATTAGAAATCTAAAATTGCATCATAGAAAGCAGTAAGTTCAACTCGCTATTCAAAGCATTGTAGAGACTAATAGCAAGAAAATATAATTAAAGGTAACATACATTCAAATTGCTCACTGCAATTTTTCTTCTTTGGTTATTTGTTTGTTTTGCTTTGTCTAATTTAGAAATTTATGTAAATCAACACGTTAAACATTAAAATTAACTGAAAACAGAGTTAGTTTCAGTTTTAGAAGTAAAAATCAATTATACAACGTTATCGTTTATAAGACGTTTTTCGGTGGTCCCTTCGGCGTCGTATAAACGATGCTCCACTGTATTTGTAACTACGATACGAGAACTTACAAAAATTTTCCACTACTTCAATTTATTAACAAACTGAATATCTTTAAAAACACTGTATCACTTTTATGTACCAAGATATGAATATAATGAATGCAGGGCTGCCAACGAACACTTTCAGAATACTGGAGACTCAGCCAATACTTAAAACACATCACCGCAACTTCCAGGTAGCAGTCTGAGAGAAATTAAAACAAAAACATTAAAAAAGAGGACCACTTTAAAGAGTATAATTTGCACCCATCCCAGGCAAATCTCTACTTGTCTTTTTTAAAAATATATATATATATATAAATAAAAATATAATTAGCAAGTTTAAAATCCTTTTAGCGTCTTGACAGTTGTAGCCGACACAACAGATCCTGACACTTAAATATCCCCAATTGTAGATTTATAAAGTATAAAATAACCATCAAATTAAAAAAAAAAACAATTTCAATAATAATGTGCATGTTGAATATGAAAAGAACTAGAAAACATACCTCGATGGAAATTACAAGGAATTAATAAAGTTTTCCAAATCATTTCTGAAAGAAAAAATTTATTTAGAAATTATATAATAGTAAACAAAATATATGCAAGCTATTAAGTAGTTAATATGAAACTTTTAAGTATCAACTGCTTTATTTGTAAAACGCTTTTTTAGTTTTACTGAAACTTCAGGGTATCAACAGTTAATAAAATATAATTTAAATTACATGATTAAAATTTTTAAAATAAAATTAAACATTAAAAATAGCAAAATAATTTGCAATTATAAAATAATTCAAAGTCTAAAAATATTATATACAACTTAACAAATAATTAATTTGTTAATAACGGTGATCACATGATAATAATGAGAATTTATGTAAATAACATGTGAACAAAGTGTTTCGAATAAAGTCTCATTAAGAAATGCAGGAAGAAAAAAAACATTCAAAATATTTTCTTCTCAAGCAATGGAGTTTAAGTCGTAACCCTAATGCAAGCACATGCAGTTTCAAGAATAATATAATGTGTCTTGATTACTTAATCTATAAATACTGCTTAAGTATACATTTTAACATTTCTGTAACTAGAAAATATGTAAATAAAGAATATGTAAATAAAAGCAAGAAATAAAGACAAAAATACACTTACTAAAATATAGCGCCAAGAATTACCATGAGGCATCCATGATTAGGACAAATGTAAACAAAGTTTGAAGAAATGTGATTGGCTGAAGTTCACACTGAAAACGGAACGAACTGAAAAAACTGATAAATTAGGAAAAAGGGTAGCTTTATGTAGATTTAACGAACGACTAAGGTCGATTCTCGTCTTTGCGTGATTCCCTTTCGTTTCTGCATTAATCGCTCTTTTCAATTGAATTAAATTAATTATAGTGTTACAATAAAAATTTATTTATTTATTTCATAAAAGTTTATTTTGTTTTATGATTTAAACTACAAATTTCAAAAACGGACTGAAATTTATAAATTTATGAAGGAGAGATTTAAGTTTGGTTAAGGTAAAAAGTTTTTAAGATTTTATAACAATTTTCAATTTATGTAAACATATTTCTTTTTTTACCAAGTCGTCGAAACCTAAACTAAATAATTTATTTTGCGAATTGATAAATTTGTTTCGATTAGGAGCAACATAGATTTAGTTTAGTATAAATTCAAGAAGAAATAAATAAAAATTAAAAACAGCTTATAATAAAATTTAAAGTGATGCAATTAATAATATTCTTTTCTCATCATGACTTTGATTAAAATAATTTTTGTAAATAAAAAAATAAATAAGTAAGTAAAGAATAAACGAATAAAAACAAGTTTTATTGTTTAATTACTTTTATTATAAAATTACTTTTATTATAAAATTACTTTAATTTCAATAACTAGATTTTACTTAGATGACTTAGATTTTAAAATAATTAAAATGTGCAAAAATCTAACTGAAAAACTCCCTTCGCTCCAAAATTATAAAATGATTTTAATAATTTTAAATATGCATTTTTTTTAAAAATTGATGCACACAGAAAGTGTACGTTTTCACCACTCTTAATATATTAGTTAAGAGTTCTTATAAAAATCTAAGAAATTAATTATTGGAAATTAGTATATAATCAAGAAAAAAAAACGAAGACTTTATAAAATAATAAATTATTAAAGAAGTAAGCTAGTTTGAAAATGTCGAAACCTGTTAGATTTCCGGAAAAATATGCACTTTCTAAGAATTTAAGTTAGTATATTTTAAAACTACTTCAAAATTTCCAGCATGGATTCTAACTGGTTTCGAAATTTCCATCATGTTTAAAAACTGGTATCAAAATTTCCAGTACGATATTATACTGGTTTCACACTTTCCTATATATTTGAAATCTGGTATCAAAATTTCCAGTATGCTACATACTGGTTTTAAAATTTCTAGTGTGGCGTCATACTAGTTTTAAACTTTCCAGTATGGTGTTATACTGGTTTTAAAATTTCCCGTATGGTGCTATACTGGTTTTAAAATTTCCAGTATGGTGCCATACCAGGTTTTAAAATTTCCAGTATAGTTTCATACCAGGTTTTAAATTTCTGGTATAGTTATACTGGTTCTGGTATCTTTGTTACTGATTTTTGATACTGGTTTTGCAAATTTTTTCCAATAGGGTACTATTGCTTTATCTGTTATATGTTTAATGTGGTCTGCCCAGGAGAGTTTGCTATTTATTACTAAACCAAGATATGTAGCTTTCTTTACAATTGGAATTGGGGTATTGAATAGTTTCGGTTTGCAGTTTGGCTGGATTTTTATTCTTCGTTTTTGAATGATAAGGATTTGTGATTTTTCTGCGTTGACTGCTGTTTTCCATTTCCTGCACCAGTTTTCGACCTAGTAATTGATCCTATAGTTTTAATAGGGCTAAGTTGGAGTTGCGTGATTTGATTATAATTCCAGTATCCTCTGCGTAGTAGGCTGTTATGCTGTTGTAGTCTTCTTTGTTTATGGGGAAGTCGTATGTGTAAAGTATATATAGTATCGGGCCCAGTATGCTGCCCTGAGGGACACCCGCTGAGATATTTCTTTTAGTTGATTTATGATTTTGTAGACTGACTTGGAAGGTACGGTTTGAGAGATAACAGGATAGTAGTTTGATGATGCCGGGAGGAAAGTTGAGCTGCATTAATTTAAATATTGCTCCAGTATGCCAAACTTTGTTGAATGCTTTAGAGATGTCAATCATGAGGAATACTATTGCTTCTATATTAATTTGAGATCTGCCAATATGATTTACAGTCAATAAGTGGCGAATAATTTAAGCATTCGAATTATTTAGAAAGAGTGGTGGATTAAAATCTAATACATTGAATTTTTTAAACCGAGAATCACTCATTAATAAACTACCACTCGAAAGTATTTATTTGCTGTCCGAAGCAAGTTGGCATCTCTGTATCTGTTCTTAACCAAGGCTTAAGAGCAAGGATTTTATTTTTTTAATTTTATAACCGTCGTTGACCAGCCGGACCAGTTTTGGGCTTACGACTAATATGTTTAACTCCCTAGTCTTGTAATTTTGAAACCAATCCAGAAGACAAGGGAACTCCTGCATCAAGTATTGGGAGAAATTTGTCTTCGTGGAAGACTTTTTAATGGAACTAAACTTCATTCGCGTTACATGGAGACGAAACACCCCGAAAACCTCTCACGGGTAGTCTGACGGCAAGGGGACTCTAACCCATGATCAGTCTACCACTGAGATATCTCATGTCAGCACTGTGGTCGGTGCAAGACGGATGCGGAATTCATATCGAGCTACCATCGAACCCGGTTCACCTCATTGGAAGACGTAGGTTCTAAATGATGAATCATGTCGGCTCAATTTACAGGGATTGACCAACAAAATGGAAACACTTCTATACTAAGTCTATCTAAGCAATATTTCTTTTAACAGCAAATGTTTGATAAGATTTTAAATTGCAAAATTGTGGACACAAAAGTTTTCCCGGCGTGAACGTGTTAAATAGAATTGTTTTGATATTGAAATTTGTTTTATGAAGTTTTTTGAAGCAACGCAACAAACAATTTTGCATGACACCATTTCTAAAAGCTTCAAGCATGTGCCAACAATTTTGCCAAGTATAACATTTTGTCACAAAATAAATATAATATACATAAAGTTAGTATAGAAGTGTTTCCATAATTTTGTTGAACCTCTGTATCATGAACAATCAAGCCAGCATATTCACGTAAAACAATAAATAAATAAATAGTTAAACCAGAACTGATTAAAAAGTTACATATACGCTGATAAAAATTTAAAAAAGGCAATCGAAATTTGTTTGATATGTTTAATCTAAAATGCTCTTTAGGATCTACCAAGTGATATATTTAAAATTAATCTAGTGCATATGTATGTAAAACAACAACTAAATAAATAATTAAACTAGACCTGTTTAAAAATTTACTTATAAGTAGATAAAGTTTTGAAAAATGCAATCAAAATTTGTTTAATATGTTTAATCTAAACAGCTCTTCGGGATCTTTCAAGTGATTTATTTAAAACTAATGTAGTGCACATATATACACCACAATTCATTTTACAGAATAAAAATAATAAAATTAATGATAACGTTAATAGGATTACCAAGTATTATTTTAAACTGAAAAAATTCTCAAATTGCAAAAAATGTTTTTACATTTTTGTAATATAACATATTTTTATTTTTAGATTTATCGTTATTTGATGTTTATAATAATAATAATTTAAGAAAAAGTTGATTTACAGATTCGAGTAAATAATTTCATTTTTATTATAAAATTTTTTCTGCGTATCTAGGAAATATAATATTAAATTTTTTTTTTCAGGAATGAAATAAAAGGCGATGAAATTTTATTCAAATGTTTTAAGTGTTAACACATAAAAATGCCTTTATAATTTAATTTTTATGCCGTCATTAATCTTTTTCCATTTACAATTTTTAAATATAATGGTTTTGTAACTTATAAATAAGAATAACGTTTTACCTTTAACTTAACGACTTTAGTAACTAATTTTATCTTTTCATTATAAATAGCCAAACTATTTAAGATTTTGCGGCGTTTGTACATTTTTAGAATCTTCTATTTTCAAACACTGAAGGGTTAAATCCAATGTTCAATAAATTCAGAACATTATTCTTATTTACGATTTATAAAAGATAAAATTAGGTTACGAGGGAAATTTATTACCTTTTACTTGATAGGAACCAGGGGGCCGAAAGAGAATATTTTCTTAAAATGGGACCAAAACTGTAAACGGAGCAAAGCAATTTCTCCTAATCGACCTTGTCCCCAAACGATAATAAATATTCTCATTTATCTCAACGCAACTCGATCTTGCTAAAAAAGGGGGGAATTCTTCTCGAGAAAATTCGTGTTACTTTTCTTCATCGTCCTATTTCGATAGTTGTGTCCTTACATTCAGATAAAGTTTAGATCCCACAGAAAACGGTGAGGGAGAAGAAAATTTGGAAAGCAGCCAAACAGTGAATTGAATGGGAATCGAAGTTAAACGTGGAACATCATTTGTGTGATTAAGAACTTCTTTTGAAATTAATAACAAAATTGCAACAAACAGTAATAAATTTCACTATTGAAGGTTTTTGTTGTTGATAAAACTGGAAATATTTTCCCTGCTGTATGAAAGTTATGAACGGATCTTAGATATTTTCGCATTGCTGATTTTTATGTTTAAGTTCAAAAACATGTAAACCATTTTTGTGTTCATGATAGGGCGCTTCTCTATCATGAACATATACTGTTTGCTTGCCTTTGAATCAATACTTTCATTTACATAAATATCTTAATTTCGTGTTAATTATATATATTTTTTTACTATCGGAAATTGGCTTCAAATATGCTATGGAATAGTTGTTTCATCGTAATTTAATTTAGCTGATTTGTCAAGTTAGTCATCACAATTATTAAATAACGATAAAGCAACTGAACCTATTCGAATACAATTTTTAAATATCTAAAAAAATATGAAAATTAAAAAACTATAAGATTAAAATAATTTAGATAGGGTAAACTAACCAGTGAAGGAACATTTAAACTTCGCTTGCCTTTTAAAAAATCATATTAATTTCAAAATTCGTAATTTTAGTTAAATGACAGTGTCAACATATTTGCTGCTAATTGCAAATTATGTAAAAAAAAATGTAGAGAAATTACATAATATTGCTTTAAAGTTTTGGAGGTTCAAATAACAAGTAGTAAGAAGACCAAGTGAAAGAACAGCTTTTCCCTGTGAAGGAACACACAATTTCCCAGTAAAGGAACAATTAATTTTGGTTATTTTTTGTTGTTTCGTTGTTTCACAAAACTTCATTAAACAAATTTCAATATCAAAACGATTCTATTTAATAATTTAAAATACAATTTAACAAGAAACGTGAAATCATGAT